TTTTGAAAGGCTTTATTTGGTACGCTGTCCGAAGCCTGTATCTCTAACCGTTTATGGAATATCGAAAGGTTAAAGTTTTCTAACCTTTCTCCGTCGATATCCAGCCTTCATCCGTCGATATCTCCGCTTCTATTGGGAGTAGAGGGTCGTCATTGTAGTCCAAAATGTAGGGTTTTGAAAGGGCTTTTAATTTGGTACCTGTCCGAAGCCTGTATCTCTAAACCGTTTAGGAGATATCGAAGGTTAAAGTTTTCTAACCTTTTCTCCGTCGATATCCAGCCTTCATCCGTCGATATCTCCGCTTCTATTGGGAGTAGAGGGTCGTCATTGTAGTCCAAAATGTAGGGTTTTGAAAGGGCTTTAATTTGGTACCTGTCCGAAGCCTGTATCTCTAACCGTTTAGGAGATATCGAAGGTTAAAGTTTTCTAACCTTTCTCCGTCGATATCCAGCCTTCATCCGTCGATATCTCCGCTTCTACTGGGATAGAGGTCGTCCATGTAGTCCAAAATGTAGGGTTTTGAAAGGGCTTTAATTTGGTACCAGTCCGAAGCCTGTATCTCTAACCGTTTAGGAGACATCGAAGGTTAAAAGTTTCCAAGCTTTCTCCGTCGATATCCAGCCTTCATCCGTCGATATCTCCGCTTCTACTGGGAGTAGAGAGTCGTCCATGTAGTCCAAAATGTAGGGTTTTGAAAGGACTTCATTTTGGTACCAGAGCCAGGCCTGTATCTCTAACCGTTTAGGAGATATCCAAGATTAAATTTTTCCAGCCATTCTCCGTCGATATCCAGCCTTCCTCCGTCGATATCTCCGCTTCTACTGGGAGTAGAGAGTCGTCCATGTAGTCGAATATGTAGGGTTTTGAGAGGAATTTAATTTGGTGCCAGACCGACGCCTGTATCTCTAACCGTTTAGGAGATATCGAAGATTAAAGTTTTCCAACCTTTCTCTGATGATATCTCCGCTTCTACTGGGAGTAGAGAGTCGTCCATGTAGCCAAAAATGTAGGGTTTTGAAAGGACTTTAATTTGGTACCAGAGCCGGGCCTGTATCTGTAACCGTTTAGGAGATATCGAAGGTTAAAGTTTTTCAGACATTCTCCGTCGATATCCAGCCTTCCTCCGTCGTTATCTCCGCTTCTACTGGGAGTAGAGAGTCGTCCATGTAGTCGAAAATGTAGGGTTTTGAGAGGACTTTAGTTTGGTGTCAGACCGAGGCATGTATCCCTAACCGTTTAGGAGATATCGAAGGTTAAAATTTTCTAGCCTTTCTCCGTCGATATCCAGCCTTCCTCCGTCGATATCTCCGCTTCTACTGGGAGTAGAGAGTCGTCCATGTAGTCGAAAATGTAGGGTTTTGAGAGGACTTTAATTTGGTGCCAGACCGACGCCTGTATCTCTAACCGTTTAGGAGATATCGAAGATTAAAGTTTTCCAACCTTTCTCTGATGATATCTCCGCTTCTACTGGGAGTAGAGAGTCGTCCATGTAGCCAAAAATGTAGGGTTTTGTGAGGACTTTAATTTGGTGCCAGACCGTGGCCAGTATCTCTAACCGTTTGGGAGATATCGAAGGTTAAAGTTTTCCAGCCTTTCTCCGTCGATATCCAGCCTTCCTCCGTCGATACCTCCGCTTCTACTGGGAGTAGAGAGTCGTCCATGTAGTCGAAAATGTAGGGTTTTGAGAGGACTTTAATTTGGTGCCAGACCGCGGCCTGTATCTCTAACCGTTTAGGAGATATCGAAGGTCAAAGTTTTCCAGCCTTTTTCCGTCGATATCTAGCCTTCCTCCGTCGATATCTCCGCTTCTACTGGGAGTAGAGAGTCGTCCATGTAGTCGAAAATGTGGGGTTTTGAGAGGACTTTAATTTGGTGCCAGACTGAGGCCTGTATCTCTAACCGTTTAGGAGATATCGAAGGTTAAAATTTTGGCGGGAAAGTTGAAATATTTACAAGTTTTCTCAGTTTCTTGCATTTCGCGTTTTCGTATCAGGAGAACATAAAGTGCAAAGAGATATTCGAAATTCGGGCGGAAAAGTTGAAATATTTACAAGTTTCTCAGTTTCTCGCTTTTCGCGTTTTCGTATCGGGAGAACATAAAGTGCAAAGAGGTATTCGGAATTCTAGCGGGAAAGTTGAAATATATAAAGTTTTCTCAGTTTCTCGCTTTTCGCGTTTTGTTATCAGGTGAACATAAAGTGCAAAGAGGTATTCGGAATTCTGGGGAGAAAGTTGAAATATTTACAAGTTTCTCAGTTTCTCGCTTTTCGCGTTTTCGTATCAGGAGAACATAAAGTGCGAAGAGGTATTCGGAATTCTGGCGGGAAAGTTGAAATATTTTGCAAGTTTTCTCAGTTTCTCGATTTTCGCGTTTTCGTATCAGGAGAACATAAAGTGCCAAGTAGTATCCGAAATTCTGGCGGGAAAGTTGAAATATTTTGCAAATTTTCTCAGTTTCTGGCTTTCCGCGTTTTGTTATCAGGTGAACATAAGGTGCAAGGAGGTATTCGGAATTCTGACGGGAATTAAAAAAATTTATAATTTTTCTCGGTTTCACGTTTTGGTATCAGGAAAATATGATGGTCGATATATCAGGAAAATATGATGAACGAAAATATGAAGTGACGCAAATAGAGAAATGCTTTTTCATATCTAACGTAATTTTATTCCGTATTGTTCTTTTATTACAATGTATTATAGTGACACGTACGCACATATAGGATATTTATAATATGTGATTTATAATATAATGTTACAATGTAACACGATATAAAACAATGCAACGCATATAATATATGGAAATTAAAATTTAATAAAATGGGAATGTAATAAAAGGGATTGGAATGTGTAAATAATGTTGTAATGTGTAATAAATGTAAATAAATTGATGGAAAGATTTAATATTTTGTATGTGTGTGTGTGTGTGTGTGTGTGTGTTTACATATGTGTAATTTTTATATTAAACGAACAAGGTTTTTAAGGGTCAAGGTTTTTACAAGTTATTAATTGGGTATGTATAAATGTATGTAAACTGGCGGACATAATAGTAAATGCCCGTTTTTTTGTAACTTTCAAAACGCATCCCGATTCGAGAAGAATGAGGCTCACTGCTTCGCTTGCGGTGCACGCCTGCGCAGTGACTCACAACGAAAGGCGAGAAATTAAATATACGTTGTGGGACATATTGACTTGTGCATTCGTTGCAGCTGATGATTCATCTCGTACATCTCTTTCAGAAGACTTTAAAGTGGAAGTCATATCTTAAAACGATATCTCACGTGTCATTTTCACGTTTGGGTGGAAAGGTAAATATTTATAATTATGTTTTATATTGTAGATACTGTGTGTCAAAGTATTTCTTGAGAAGAAGAAAGTAGGAAAATGTAATGAAGAAGATATGAAAAGAAGAGCAGAAACGAAGAGAAAAAAGAAAAAGAAGAGAAGAAACGTGAGGAGGAGGCAGAAGAATGTTTAGCCACTCTACATAAAATTGGAGATTGCTGAAAAACAAGCATGTAACTTCATTGTACAAAACTAGAATATAAAAGAAACTGTTTTATTGCAGATATTTACAAAAGATTGGGTATACTGACACAATTATAGATGTACGATCAAACAGAGTGCGATCACTGCTTGGTTTGAATAATAATACAGACTCAGATGAAATGAATACTCCAGCATTAAATGGAAATGAGGGAACACAGAACAGACAAAAATCATCCGATATAAGCTTTATATTCCGGGGGAAACATCCGAAAAAGGTAGAGATAAATAAACATGTTTATGTTTAAAACAATACGAACTTAATTAAGAGAATTAAGCTGCATTACGATAGTTACGACTCTGTTTTACATTTATATGTGATTTATTGTTTCAGCAACAGCCATAGCTTCTATAGCAGAAGCAATGATATTAGATACAGAAGCACATGTTATAGCGAATTTTGAATTTTGGGACATACAGACATGGACATGGAAGAGGAAGGAGTAGATGGAGAGGATGAAATTTATGATGCAAATACGGATACCAAACCAAATACATAGACTGGCTAAACATTCTTCTGTCTCCTCCTCACGTTTTTTCTCTTCTTTTTATTTTTTTCTCTTCGTTTCTGCTCTTCTTTTCGTATCTTCTTCATTATATTTTCCTACCTCCTTCTTCTCAAGAAATACTTTGACACACAGTATCTACAACATAAAACATAATTATAGATATTTACCTTTCCACCCAAGCGTAGAAATGATACGTGAGATATCGTTTTAAGATATGACTTCCACTTTAAAGTCTTCTGAAAGAGATGTACGAGATGAATCATCAGCTGCAACGAATACACAAGTCAATATGTCCCACCGCGTATATTTAATTTCTCGCTTTTCGTTGTGAGTCACTGCGCAAGCGTGCTCCGCAGGCGGAGCAGTAAAGCTAAGACTCCATGCATGCGGTGAGCTCCGGCAAACGGCTGCGGTGACCAATCAGGAGACAGACGCATGCCGGAGCTTGCCGCAACTGGACTTGCGCCTCCCTCCTGATTGGTCATCGCAGCCGTTTGCCGGAGCTCACCGCATGCATGGAGTCTTAGCTTTACTCTCATTCTTTTCGAGTCGGGGTGCGTTCCGAAAATTGCATAAAAACGGGCACTTACTATTATGTCCGTGAGTGTACAAAATATAGACACTTTACATATTATAACATAAATAGGTTCTCCGCAATGGCCAAGTTAATAAGGAAATTTTCTACGGCCGGTGCCAAGTTCTTTTCCCTAAATATCTCCACAGATATCATTTTCCTGCCATCTGGAGCTTGCACTGTTGCCAGCGATGTCAGCTGATTCAGGAGATCCTGCATCTTGTCGCTTATCTCGGATATAATTTGCGCCTCTGTATAATTTTGATTTTCACACAACTGGACCATAAACAAGGCTATCTCCTTGTGAGTTTTCGTCATTTGTAAGGCTTTCTGGAACGTATAATTTGAAAATTATTAACAAAAATAACGATATCAAATGATATCACTCTAATAAGTAAGATTTGTTTCTATCTATTCTACCTTTTGCATGTGAAGTCACAGTAATTTCTCTGGCGGGAATATTTACGAGTAAATCATACAAATCCGTTCTTGAAGATATCGAGCTATTATTACAGCCTGCGACGTAGTATGGATGTCTCTGTAACAATATAATAAATACAATGCACATTAATAATACCAATATTATAAAATGGTCTTCTCTTTTTCATATGATACATACCTTTAATTCAGTTAACTCATCGTTTACCAAATCAATCCAAGGAAAAAGATTATCAGTAACCTTTCTATGCCTCATTAATGCGGGAAATGTTCTGATCCACTTGAGGAGTTGCTCCAAGCTATGATGATACACAACAATTCTCTTCTTCAATAGGAGGGCAGTGTATATCAAAATAGTCTCTAATTCAAATGTCTTGATTAGTTCTCTGACATTGGTATTAGCAGCAAAACGATGAGTGTTAAAGTCATCAGAGACAAAAGTCCCATTCTCCTGTGTTGAGTATGATCCTTTGGTAAATACAGAAAGATAAAGTTGCAAGATTTCTGTCGGCTTTCCAGTCTTGCAATACATTTTGCTGAGAACTCTTGAAAGTACTTCATACTTTTGTGGATTAAAGTCCTTTGCAAACAGTACCAATGCAAACTGTTTTACCTGAAAATAATTATACAGGCTGGAGTTAGTGTCCCAAACATGTAAGAAAATAATTTTCCGATGAAAGAATAAAAGTTTGCAAGTGCATACTTTTGGCAACTTATCGGAATCAAATACTTCACTGCAATATATGTAAAACCAATCATGACCATGCCTGGCGCATACAAATACATGAGGAGAGTTGTGCTCTAATTTCAAATTACATTTCCTCATAACTACTGTCTTCTGAGATTCCGTCACAGTTGGATATGACCATGTCCATAAGACATCTCCATTGCAGTCTTTCTCTGTAATGTTTATTCTACACTATAGCATAGTGCAAATAGTCAGAACAATGTCTAGACAAAAAAGGTACCACAGAGGAAATATTTGGGTTACTGCAATTAATTATTTTCATCTCGAAAATTACCTATTATACTACAAGAAAGTAAATCTGTTAGTGGTGCCATTGCGACTCTCTTTGACAAATGATTAACAATTACAATACCCTGTCAGGAACAAATCATTCTTTACATTTTATGTATTAATAACGGAACTTATAATTCATTATATTTCTCGTCATGTCGAATATTCCACACTTATAGAAATACAAATATTATTAACCAAACAACACATCAAACATCAAACATTGTCATACTGCAAACAAACAAGAGGTTATTTGAGGAGGTTATGTACAGTGCCGATGACACTTGTAGGCTTTAACGTTAGCGACATCTCTCGTGAACTTTGCAATTCACGTGGAAAGAATCAATTTTTCAGTGAAAAAATTGTTATTACTTTATTTATAAATTATTATTTCTGAAAAGTTACTTGTATGCACAAGAACAACAAAGTCAACAATTATCGGAAGGCAATTTTTTATTTCCTTTGCTGTCGTACCGCACTCGAGCAATACGCTTATTTAAAATTATTTTCAAAATGCTTCCTCAACAAAAAATTATCCTTAACAAGAAGTTTTCTTAACAGGAAGAATTCCTTTTTAGATCTGTTAAAGCACATGTATGTGTGTGTGCGTGTGTGTGTGTGTGTGTGTGTGTCCGCAGTACTACATTTTTCTACTAAGAATAAAGTTTTCAACTTACGTTGCATACTTTGAAAAATAAAATCACTCTTGTATATTACATAATGATCCCCATGTATAATTTCACGGCGCGACAGATACGCGGAAGTTAATCTTAATTAGATAACATGTCTGTAAAACACACCTTACATTACTTTATAAAATAGGAATGACATAGTCGTCCGCGACAATCTTGCGACATCAATTGACGATTGATCAATCTTTTGAGCTCGCTCGGACGCTGTCCACGCACGATCAGTTTGCGCAAATCAGCGTTGCGTAAAACTAACGTTATATCATAACAGCCGAGATTGGTCGATACACAGCCCGATATCAGTGCCAAAACCTTCGTCCCTCAGACTGCTTGGTCGTGTCGAATTTGAAGCGTATAATACTAATTGCAAATTATTCCAAGCAATTCGCAGCTGCTAATTATCGCGCGTATATATGTTTATTTACAAAAAGAAAAAAAAATATATATATATATATATACACAGATTCATCGTTTTGTTACCGATACGTCATCGTTGAATTGAATTCAATCAGAAGGAGCACCGTGCACTTTTCGTACGGTGCTCCAGTTCAATACTGATGTACTCAGGGAAAACAGAAGATCATGATAACATCAAATGACGAGAAAATGATCGAATCATGATGGAAAAATGAGTTTTCCTCATCATTTTGACGTCATTTTGATGTCATCATGATTTTCTGTTCTGCCTGGGTATCTTCAATTGCTTCGCTTCAAATCAATTGATCATCTTCAATGAGCAGATGGCCAATTGGCTGTCGGGAGCCTTGCCGAAAGGCTTGTTGCCGTCGGGTGCCTCGTACTTGTTCACTTGATACGTCAACATGGTCTCGTAGCCGTACACGTCTGTACCGAGTTGCTGTGAAGATTCGTCAAGATCGATTTGTAGAAGAAAAGAAAGAAACATAAAGTGAGGCCTCAGCATGCTGGATGCGAGATCAATTACCTGTGTGAGCGGGCTGGTGTTGGTCGTGAAGATGCCTACGTACTTCTTCCGCTTGACTAGCTCCAAGCAGTGCTCTTCCATCTGCCTCATTATGAGCACGTTCTGCGCCGCGTTCAGCTCGCTGCTGGTCGACATCATAAAGTTGTGAATAATCTGGCCTTTACCCTTGGGCAATCTGTTCTCTCTGATCGGCCCTTCCAGGTACTCGAGAAAGTCAAAGACGACTGTCAACTTGGAGTTCAGCACCACCTCGGGCTCGTCCCAGAGATCAAAGTTGAGAGTGATCCCGATCGTTTTGCCGGTCTGCGCCGACTTCACGGCGAAACTCAAGCTCTTCTCCACGAGCGGCCGCCACATGGAGTCAATCAGATCCCGGTAATCGGCTCTCGTGATGTCCGGCATCAACCACTGCTCCAAATCGGCTTTCGAGTAAAAGCTCTCCGTGATTATTCTGCAAATTCGAGCGCGCGGCGTCACATTTACGAGCCATACGTGCTGTACGTGTCACATGCAAAGCCTTTTCGCTCAACAACTCACTCGATCGCGTCGTCCTTGTGGCGGTCGTGCAACGGCTCGTAGATATACGACTCCTGATCGATGCTCTCGTTCAGCGGCTCCTCCACGCTGGAGATAAGCTTCATGCGGCCCAGCATGTCGGTCAGACTCTTGGCCGTGATGAAGTCCGTGATGCCGATCTGGTAACCCTGGTCGCGCAGCTTGGTCACCGTGTAGATGGAATTCAACGAGTTCCCGCCGAGCTCGTAGAAATTCGCGTGCGACGTCACCGTTGCACGGCCGTTGAGGCCGTTGAGGCCGATTACGGACGCGACGGTCGGGAAGAGAACACGGGCCTTCGCAAGGTCTTGGCTCGGCACGTCGCTGTAATCGCACTTGGCGGCCACCTCGTCTTCTGCGGGAGATAAACAAATAAATAAGCGAATGTATGCTAACGACGATGGGCGATAAGCGATGGCAAGGGACAGCGGCTAATTAGAAAATCGGAGAAACCGGTCGTCCTCAGGTTCACGCATGCATTTGCTATTCGATTTCACGGTGATCCGCCGGCGATCGTGTAACATGCGCGGCATTTCGCCGCGCATCGAGCGGTCGCCGTTTGGGTATGTTAATACGATCGTCGATCGTCGCTTGATCCTCGCTCCTCTCGCCGACTAACGACGACTGTCCGCAATGGCGGGATGGCTCACCGTCGTTGGGGCAAGACGCCTCGTACTGCTTCAGCAACGCCTGCCGATCCGTCTTGCCGTTGGTCAGCAGGGGTATGCGATCGACGACGATGATTTGCGGCAGCATGTACGGCGGTAGCGTTCTTTGCAGGAGATGCTCGACCTCCGAGCTAGACAGGCTCGCGCCTCCCGCGATGCTAATGAAGGCTACCAGCGCCTGGAAATTCAAGGAGAGGGCTTCCATTAGTCCGACATTAAAAGTCAGAGTTGCGGCGCAGCTGGCCGCGTATCAGCAAATATATAAATTATACATTATTGTACACGCGCGATTAAATTGAAATTTTGCCCGTGGCATGGCCGTGGCATGGCCGAAGGAGAGAAGAAATTGAACTCCCTCCGTTCGGTCATGGCCGTAGTTACTCTGGTCGTGGCTGCGCGACAACAGCCTTTATCCAGCGTAGTAGAATTTGTGCGCAATCATTCCAACGTTGTGGAAATTTCGTGCGCTGAAAAATCGCCTTCATCCCGCGTACCTGCGACAGCTCGCCGGGTTTGTAGCAGAGAACCACGACCTTGTCGACGCCGGGTATCCTGGCGATCGCTCTCTCGACCTCCGTGAGGTCGACGCGGTGGCCCCTGATCTTGATCTGCGAGTCCACTCGGCCTTCGTAAATCACGTACCCTTTGACAATCCTGGCGTAGTCGCCCGTACGGAAGATCCTCGGGTACTCTGCGGACATCGCGAAACAGTGCTATCAGCGCCATTCCTCTCGAGCGCTCCGCGCGCGACGGCCAAGTTTGGCCGTTAAATCTCGGCGCGAGTTCGGGCAGGCCGCGCGATACACGCGTCGTCCTCCGGCGAGTCGGCCCCCGATTTTGCCTCGCCCGGAGATTTTTGCGGCGGAAAGAGAATTCCGCCGTTCGTCACGGACGATCACGTCACGAGACGCGCGCCGTCAACGTCGCGCACTCCCGAATTGGAGGGTCCGCAGGTCGCGGCAGTAAATTCTCCGGCTCCCCGGCGGAGGAAGCGGCGTCCAGTTGCTTCGCTCGCTCTCACCTGGATCGATGGCGTGAGGATTGTCCAAAAATTTATGTGCGTCCCGTCCGCGTATATAACCCGCGGCGAGGTTCCTTCCGGCCACGATCAGCTCGCCGACCTCCCCCTGAGGGACCAATCGCATATCCTTGTTCACCAGGTAAATTATGCAGTTGTCGACCGGTTTGCCTGCGACGGGAATAAACCGAACGTTAAAAGAACGACCGTCATTATTTCCTCGCGCCGCGCGCGCGAGTCGACGATCTTTCAGCGGCGGTTGAGCGAGAAGGAGGGAAAAACGATCCTTACCGATCGGCACTTTCTCCATCCCCTGCAGCTGCGCGCGTTGGCTCAGCAGGTGGTACGTGACGTCGCCCATGACTTCCGTGCTGCCGTAGAAATTAGCCAACGTCTTGTCGTGGTCGCCGAACGTGGCAAAAAACTGCTCGGCCAGCGCGACCGGCAAGGTCTCGCCGGAGCAGATCCAAAGTCTCAGGCGGCCGAGAACGCTGTTATTACCGTTGTCCTGCGACGATGCAAAGCGGCGATGAAGCAGCGATACAAAGTAGCATTAGCGGCCAGCTGTGCACGCAATGGGCGGCTAATAAACGAGTATTTCCATTGCGCAAATTGCCCGCGTGTAAATCACCCTCACGGCGCGCGGCGGAGAGAGAAAAAGACGGCATTTACGCGCGAGCCTTTTCCAAGCGATGCGTGCCATTAGCGAGACGAATAGGTGGCCGCGGGTTACGCGATATATCCGCCTTCACCGGCCGACAATCTCCCGACGAAGTAGCGACAAATCGCCGGCGATTATCTTTGCATGGCTCTCGCTAATTATGTCTCGCGCAGTCCGGCGCGTTCAACGCTTGCGAGCCGGAGAACTTTCTCAACCGCGGGGCTATCGGGTCGTAATTTCAGGGAGAGAGGGGGGGGGTCATTGAACTCTTGGGCGCACTTGGGCACCCGACATTCAAGCCGGGTCTTGCATATCCAAGATTGTTGCAACTTCTGGCATTCCGCAGCCAACGATTCGCCCGACAGGCGAGAGGATGAAAACTTGCAGATATTTTGGACATTTCTAATTTAATATTTTTAACATATGTGTGAAAAATCCGAAACATCGGGCTGCTCGCTTGAGTAGTCTCGCTTGAGACGAAATCGAAGCCGAATTTGCGGGACTTTGCCGAGATAAAGCCGGCTTCGCTGAGAAATACCAAGGCGGCAAAAATCTCACGCACGCAGAAAAAAAGCCGGTCTGGACGGTCGCCGTGTCTATATTTTCCGTTCATTTTACAAGAGCCTGACGGCTCGATCGTATCTCGCGCGTTTATCGTGCATTATTATTATCGCCGCGGGAACTTACTTATTCTAATATCTCTCTTGCGCGCGATACCGAGAGCGCGGGAGATACGACGGGAAAGTGACGCGCGCTCAATAATCGTAACCTTTTGCAACGCGTGACGCAACGTCAGTTGCGGGATTGTTATAAAATGGCCGGCGGGAAAATTCAGCCGATAAACAAGCGGCTTCAGCGCTGCATGCGTGCGTAATGAGCTTGTACTCACCCGCAGACCCAAATACATGAGCAATGAGCGCAGCAACGACGGCACGAGCACCAAGCGTTGTATCTGCAACAACATACGAATGACTTTCCGTGAAGCCGCACATTTTCGCCGTTCGCGGCCGTCAGACTCGAACACGACGAAAACGCGCGACTCTTGACCCTCTGCGCTCGACGAATATCGTCTCGACCAGCAACTCGGCAATTATAAATATATCTTGTCATGATTGAAAATTTACTTTTTAGCTGAAGAGAGGAGGTGTCAAAATTTATCGACGAAACTTATAAAATTCTGCATCTTGCAGTTTTTCAAAGCCGTTATCGTCGCTGTACACCTTGCTTGTTTCATCGCTTTTTGTCGTTAAATTTTTTCATG